TCCTATTTTACCATCTTTCCTCTTAAGTAAGACCTAGATTGGGTAGACCATGTATTGTGATTTCTGCCTCTGTGTTGTTGCTTCATTTTCCCAGCTGCAGCCCTGCCCACCCCTGTGTTAATTGACTTGCCCATTGCTGTTGCTCCTCCAGGACAGTGGCTGCCCTGAGGGATGCCTGTCGGTGGTTGGCATCTGGAGGCACTGTCTCATACCCAGCTAACGAGAAGCTCTCCCAACAGTATCTGGAGGTGAAGGCACCCACCCAGCTCTGTTACTCACAAAAACATTTCCTCCTTTGGAAGAGTGGGAAAAGCACAATGACAGTGGTATAGCTGGGAATAGGATCTGGTCTGGCAATGCTGTGGAGTTCATTTGGACCTTTACGATACGATCACAGAATGCTGTCACCAGAGTATTGCAAAATATTGAATTTCTTATATGTTTGGTGTGAAAATTTAGCTTAGGTGTTTTAATAGTGGCTTTAAGACTGACCTGTAGTGCCTGTGTGATCTCTCGCTCTGTATACCAAATAAGGTATCTCCTCCAGTTGGAGAGAGGTTGAACATGTGCCACAGGTCTGAGTTCAAGCTGTTCCTGGTGCACATGAGCAGAAGTCTCCTCTCCCCGTTTCTGCTGCATGTGCTGTTCTGAGAAAATGTACATGATTTACTTTTAGCTAGTTGTTCCGAATAGTTATTTTAATGGTAATGCTGCAGCTATGTAATTTGCATAAGCTTTTCTAAGAGCAGCACCATAAAAGGTGAGATTAGCTGGAACAAATGGTCTAGAAAAGTACCAGTTTGGGTATTTGGAGGTGGGTTTCCATGGGTATCCGGGGCTGAAGGGACCAAGGAAAAGGCAGGAGAATGAGCTTCAGATCAGTGTCACAGGAGCTGCGATGTGCCGCAAGGGCTGTGTTACAGGACTGAGCAGGACATGATGGCTCCTTTGGGCAGCAGAGTTGGAGGCGCCTGAGGGAGAGAGGACAGAGCTGGACCGGTGTCTTCAGGACGCTTCTGCTCCTGAAATTTCTCTGTGCAGTGCTGGGTAGAGAGATAGGAACCAGTTGGGCTGGGCAGGTGAAGGTCTGTGTTTGGGAGGTTTGTGGACAGGAGAGCTCGGAGCGTGAGATGCTAGCACCATCTCCAGGAGGAACCCATTGCTTTTGGCCACCAGGAGCAAAATATCTGCTACCGGGGGAAGAGGGCAGCAACAAGGACTTGATAGGGAAGGACAACCTGTACTGATCCCTGTGACAATCCCCCTCACCCTGCCATCCTGCGGCAGGGTGTTCCTCCTACGAGCGTGAACACGGTGCCTAGAAACAAGCTGCAGGATCTTACTGCCGGGTAATGGAGTGGTGGTGGCGGAGAAGGGACTCAGAGGTTGCTAGGAGTCTCCTTGTTCATTTGCTGAAGGTCCAGCAGCTCCCTTGGTCAGGGACACACTCTGCTTGTTAACAAAAAGGCAGTGAATTATTTAGCAGCTGAAAATGCCAGATGGCGGTGGCTCTGCTGCGTGCAGGAGGAGGGGAAGGAGGGAGACACGCACATGGGGAGAACAGATTGAGAGCATCTCCGCAGGAAAAGGTTGACCCCGACGGGAGGCCTCGGTGGCCCCGGTAGTTTCACAGCCACCAGACGGCAAGCGGGAGGCAGGCGGGCTGGGACAAATGGCTGCCACTTGTCACAGTGGCCCACTCATTTCCAATGGGTCTCCCCCTGCTGGAGGTC